GACAGATGATTCACCCCTTCTGAGGCCCTTTCACTTCTCCTTTGGGCCTAAAAATATGGTGACCCAGGCATCCAGCTGGGCCAAGGCTTCACCACAGATTGCACAATGCCCCCAGTTTAAGTGATGCTGACGCAGGCCCTGGGTACGGGTGGGGGCCTGAGTTGCTCCCCAACCAGGCATGCTGAGGTCAGGGCTTGGACCCCATTACTTCCCCTTTCCTGGGCCAAGGATACTGGGGGCTGGGCTGACATGGGAGGTGCCTGGGATCCCTCGGCTTGGCTGTTAGCTAGCTCCTGGAAATGAAGCTCCCTCCCCTCGCCTTTGGTATCCCAGAGGTTCTGGCTCCCAGAATCTGGTCTCCTTCACAGACACAGAGTTCCAGTGAGGAGTTGGGGGCAGAGGCCAGCAAAGGGGGACTGAAAGATGGTCAGCGATTGGGAGACATGGAACCACAGAGGCAGAGAGACAGACATATGGACAAAAAGGCTGAATGAGAGAGATAACAGATACATGCAGCAGAGACACACAAGGGAACAGCTAGAAAAAGGAGCACAGAGACCACACCCATACTGGGACAGAGTCAAGTAAGGACAGAGGGACAGGGGCACAGTTAGGGTTTCAAACTCAGGGTAGATAGTGGAAGCATCCCAGGAAGAGGTTTTCCACAGGCACAGTCCAAAGTCCACACTCCCTAGGGAGAGCAGGCCACCCACAGAGTGGCTCCCCACCCCCTCTTCCCCGTGGCCTCTGCTGCCCCCTGCTGGCTGTCACCCAAGAACTCAGGTGGGAAGAAAAGTCAGAGACAAAGCTGCTTTGAGGTCACTCTTCATTCCTTCCCTGTCCCTCTCCCCCACAAGTTGCTCACTCCCAGCCCTGCCAGCTCACAAGGCACCCCCAGAGCCAGTAGGTGGTGCAGAAGTCTTCCCAGTAACCTTGTTGGCACAGTCTAGCAGAGCGGTGTGAATGTCCTTGGCACAGGCAATCTGGGCTTTGATGACTGCCAGGTACTGAGGATAGGGTAGGCTGTCAGGCTGTACTGCATCTGGCTTGGTTGCTGTGGGCACCAGCGTGGGAGAGTGCTTGGCACTGTCGCAACTCTGTGATAGGCACTCATGTGCCAGGCGCTGTGGACAGGCAGGCAAGGTGCAGCATCAGCCTCATTCTGGGTACTCCCAACCCTGCCCCAAGAACCAGCCTAGGGTAGCATGCAGGCTTCTGAACTCCTATGTACTTGCTCTATCCAAGCCTTAAATGCAGCATTTTGCATGGCCCACCTCCTCTCATTCTTATGCCCTCTTGGGGCTATCTCATCCCCACACACTACTCAGAACCCACCTCTGCACTGATGATAGTACATGTATGTCCCCAGCCTCCCCTGAAATTCCAGAGCTCTGACGCTCTCTCCGCAACCCCAAACTGCTCCTCTTCCTGGGTCCCTGTCTAACTAATGACCCAACCACTCCAACTAGAGCCCTGGGCTGCATCCTGGAGGCTCCTCCTCTCACAACCCATCAGTTCCATGGCTGTACAGAAACCTGAGTAGCTCATTTGCCCTTCGCCAGAGCCTTGCCCATTAAATCCTGCCATGGCTGTCTCCTTGAAATCCCAGCCTCCACCCTTGGCCCTTTTAACCCATCCCTCATTTGGGAGCCAGAGGAATATTCTTTAAAATGCAATGGATCATGTTCTGAGAGGTTGCAGGTTTGATTCCCGGTCAGGACACATGCCCAGGTTGCGGGCTCGATCCCCAGGAAGGTGCATGCAGAAGGCAGCTGATCAATGTTTCTCTCTCTCTCCCTTCCTCTTTCTCTAAAGAGAAATAAAAACATAAAATAAGCCCTCGCTGGTTTGGCTCATGGATAGAGCATCGGCATGTGGACTAAAGGGTCCCAGGTTCGATTCCGACAAAGGGCACATGCACAGGTTGCAGGCACGATCCCCAGTAGGGGGCGTGCAGGAGGCAGCCAATCAATGATTCTCTCTCATCATTGATGTTTCTGTCTCTCCCTCTCTGAAATCAATAAATTAAAAAATAAATAAATAAATAAACCCAAAAATATAAAATAAAATGCCCTAGCCAGTTTGGCTCAGTGGACAGTGTTCACTTGAGGACTGAAGGGTCCCAGGTTTGATTCCCGGTCAAGGGCATGTGCCTCTGTTGCAGGCTCAATCCCTGGTCGGGTGTGTGCGGGAGGCAAACAATCGATGTGTCCCTCTCACATAGATTTCTCTCTGTCTCTCCCCCTCCCATCTACTCTCTCTAAAAATCAATGAAAAAAAATCCTTGGGAGAGGATTAAAGAAAACAACAAAAAGCAATGGGTCCATGTTCTTCCAAGCTTGAAACCCTGGATGGCTTCCCAGCACCCTTAGGGCTGTTTTCAAAATTCAACAACATTGGAGCAACCTCCCCTTCCTTCCCTCAGGCCATATATATATATTTTTTAAATCTTTATTATTGAAAGTATTACATAGGTCCTCCTTTTTCCCCCATTAACCTCTTCCAACCTGCCCCCATTCCCCGGCCGCCTCCTACCCCCCGGGCCATATTTTGCTTTCTTTTCTCCTAAACTCTAAGGGTCCCCATGAGCCTTGCTACTGGGGGTGCAGTGGGCTTTAAAGCCTCTCCTTTTGCCTCTTAACTTTCCTTTCTGAGTCTAGGCATCCCAGTCTAGGTTTATTCCCATTGCTATGATCTTGCCTCTTTTATCCTAATAAATCTTACCACTAGCACTTAAAAAAAAAAAATCAACAAACCCCAATGCCAAATACACCTCAGTCAGACTGTATTTCATGACATTCCTAAAGCAAAAGCTGTTCCTTTTGGTTGGAATACCTTTCTACCACTACCAGTCTTCTCAAACTCTGACTTTAAAATCTAATTCAAAATAATGATGACGATGATACTACAAAAACAATGATGACAACATGATACTACAGGAAACATTTGTCATGTGCCTAGTACATGCATGAACTTGCTGAGTTTCTCCTGAAAATCCATTTTCCTAGGGAGGAACCCATGGGTCAGAAGTAGAGGTTGGAGGTCCATCTGATTTCAGATGCTGTGCTCTTTGCTACTTGCCCTCTTCTCAATTCCTGCCCCTCTTCAATTTTTGTTACTGCCTCGCCTCTAATCTGCTCTCTACCAACAGCCTTCCCTGAGCCACTCTCTCCCTGGCACCACCCCAGGCAGGGTTAGATGCCTTTTCTGGGCTTCCACAGCCTCCTGAGCTTCCCTGATTTTAATTCTGACCTCTCTAACCGTGTCCCCAACCCCATCTGAACCCTGAACTCTGAAACCGAGGCTTCTCCCATCACAACTCTTAGTGCTCTGAGCCATCATTATTTGGGGACGTATGTCACCGCACTGAACTGGAAGCTCTGTGAGGGCTAAGATCAGGGCAACACCGGGTGCCCAACATCAACTGAAGCACAGGTTTGGCTCACAGCAGGTGCTCACTGTGTGTTGTGTTGACTGACTGAGAATTCCTGAAGACCCAGGGATTGAGTTAGGGTTGTGGTCACCCCGTGTCTAGGAAGCCGCTTACCAGGCAGAGTTCCAGCTGGTCACAGAGTGCGTAGAATTCCTCCAGACACTTGTCAAAGCGCTGTATGGGTCCGTCACTGCTTTTTCTATAGCCCGGGAAAAGAAGGAGACTGAGGGATGATTTTCAGTCTCTGGGACATGAGTGTCTACGCAATCAAGTATCCATCAGGAAATCAGGTAAAGGCACAGGTTCCCAGAGGCAGGCACTAGGGGATTGGCAGTAGTAGCAGAGGGAGAAAGAGCAAGGCCAGGAGCTAGGGAACCGGGCTTGAAAATAGGAGGAAAGGAAGGTGAGTGGGTGGGGCTTGGGGAATGAGTTTCTAAGAATGGGGTGGACATGGATGGAGATCCTGGGAAACGGGAATACACTTACTGTCCGTTGTCTATGTTAGTGTTCTGAATCAAGTTCTGGGCTGCAACTTTCATCAAAGTCTAGTTTTAAAAAAAAAGATGCGGGAGATGGAGAAAGAGAAGGGGACACGTGTGGTACTCTACACTCCTCAGACCCAATCTCAGGCCTCCTCTTCACTTGCCACTTCTCCTCCTGTAACTCCAGAGTAACTCCCGTTTCCATTTCTATAGCTTTAAATAAACACCTGTATTTTCCCAGCGGCCCGCTGTCATCTGGGGTTCTCGTCAATGACCTCCCGACATACCTTAGGGTCCCCCCTCATCCACCAATCACAATCAGAATCTCTCTGTACAAGCCGTCAATTCCTCAGGCCTTAACGACCAGAGCCCGGCGTCTCCTTTAAACTCCCTCCCACTCGAGTTCTGGCCAATCCCAGGCTCAACACTCGCATTGCTCCCACGAAGACCAAGTCTCACCTCACCCCTTTTCCCTTTGCCTAACGCTCCTTCTGCTCGCTGCTTCCCTAAGCAGCACCCCCGTCTGCCTCCTTTGAGTCAGAGAACCAAACCCCGCTAGCGTCTAGCAGCTCTCGGCGGATCACCTGCAGACTCTCCTTCAGCTGTGGGATGAGCATCTTATACCGCTGCACAGGGTCGAAGTCTTGTTGCTGTTGCTGCAAAAGCCCGCTCTGGGCGGACCCCACCAGTTGTGTAGGTGGCTGCGGTTGTTGCTGGGTACCCAGGCCACCAGCTGAACCTGGACCCGACACACCAGCAGCGGAAGAAGTCGCTGGAACCTGCGGCTGAGACGCAGCCATTTTCCCCACTTAGCGCGCCGGAAGTGCGTCATAAGTAAGTCACAAGTGCGTCTTCAGGTTTCTTTTTAGCGTCTTCCGCTCCAGGCCCGGTTTGCTAGTTAGCGCCACTCAAACAATTCAGCCAATGGGAGGAAAGAAGGCGCTTCCAAGACGTGATTCCCAAATCCTACGTCCCTTACTAAAGATACCTATTCACCAATCACAAAAGCCTCTTCTCTCGCTCCGCCCCTTTCCCAGCTGCTGACCAATCCGGGTGTGGGTTTAACCCGGACTCTATTTCCCAGAAGACTTCGCGGCTCTGTCCGTGCCCATTCTCCTGGCGGCGGTTGGTGGGTCCGCAGAGTCGGCGGCTGCGCGTTTACCTGTCTCCCGTGGAACTCCTCGCACTGGCCCACCTCATCCCGACGCTGGCCTCACGGACCGGGGCGCCGGCCCGAGCGCTGCCTCGGATTAGGTGTCGGTCGAAGTCGGCAAGCCCCAGCTTGTCTCCCCGCGGCTCGGCCAGGTCCGGACTGCTGTCGCCTCGTCGCCATGGCGCCCACCATCCAGACCCAGGCACAGCGGGAAGATGGCCACAGGTAAACGCTTCACCTTTTAGCTTTATTGTCTGTCCAGGTTTCGGCGAGGCGGGGGGTCGGGCTCAGAGTCTACTTCTAGCGTCGCTAGCCCCCCAGGTCTGTCCGTGACGTCACGGAGCACTCAGAAGAGAGGGGTTTCTTTAGGGATGGGGTGTTGTCCCTTTCCCCGCCCAATGGAGTTCGAGAATTAAACTCTTGGAGATTTTATTCAGAAAGGCAATCCTCTTTTAAAAACTTGGAGATGCCCCCTTCACTCCTGTCAGTTTCGTCTTCTCCTTCTTTCTACCAATGTCTCTCTCTCTCTTACCCACCAGGCCCAATTCCCATCGGACTCTGCCTGAGAGGTGAGCCCCATTCTGTTTTCCTAAAAGGGGTGGGCCAATGGGGGGTGGGAAACAGGTGGGCAGCAAGGGCCAGTTTCCACACCCAATGTATCAGCGGTTTTTATTTTTTTATTCCCAAACCCCCATCCTCCTCCCCTTTGGCAACCGTTAGCTTCTTCTCTATATCTATGGGTCTGTTTCTATTTTGTTTCGTTTATTCATTTGTTTTGTGTGGGGTTTTTTAGTGGAATCATGTGGCATTTGTTTCTCTATTTCATTTAGCATAATACCGTCTGGATACACCCCTGTTGTCCCAAATGGCAAATTTTTATTCTTTTTTATTGTTGAATAATATTTCAATATATATATTGAATCTTATTTATCCAGTCATCTATTGATGGACATCTAGGTTGCTTCTGTATCTCAGCTATTACTAGTAATGCTGCAGTGAACGTAGGGTTTAATGTTTTGAGGAATCTTCGTATTGTTTTCCATAGTGGCCGTGCTAATTTACAATCCCACCAACAGTGTATGAGAATTCCCTTTTCTCCACATCCTCACCAGCATTTATTTGTTCATTCTTACAGGTGGTGACAATCATTGTGGTTTTAATTTGCATTTCCCTGATGATGTTGAGCATCTTTTCATATGTCTGTTGGCCATCTGTTCGTCCTCTTTGGAGAATGTCTATTCAGGTCCTCTCCCTATTTATAAATGGACTAGTGGCCCGGTGCATGAAATTCGTGCACAGAGGAGAGGGTTCCCTCAGCCCAACCTGCACCCTCTCCGATTGGGGATCCCTTGGAGGATGGCCGACTGCCCGATTCCTGTGGGTTGGGCCTAAACCGGCAGTTGGACATCCCTCTCGCAATCTGGGACCGCTGGCTCCTAACCGCTCACTTGCCTGCCTGATTGCCCCTAACTGCCTCTGCCTGCCTGCCCCAACCCCTCTGCCTGCCTGCCTGATTGCCCCTAACCTCTCTGCCTGCCTGTCTGATCGCCCCCAACTGCCCTCCCCTGCCAACCTGATCTTGCCCCCAATAGCCTTCCCCTGCCAACCTGATCTCGCCTGCCCCCAACTGCCCTCTCCTGCCGGCCTGATCTCGCCCCCAATGGCCCTCCCCTGCTGGCCTGATCTCGCCTCTCAACTGCCTTCCCTTGCCGGCCTGATCACCCCCAAGTGCCCTCTCCTGTAGGCCTGATCTCGCCCCCAACTGCCCTCCTCTGCTGGCCGATTTGGTTCTAATTGGTCAGTTTCTATGCCAGTCAGTGTCAAAAGCTCCGCCTCCTAGGCAGCCATTGGCTCCTCACAGTTCACCCACATTTGGTTCTGATTGATCGGTTTCTATGCCAGTCAGCGTCTCTGGGCCTATCAGCAGGGCCTGATCAGAGGTGGGGCTGATCAGCAGCCTGGGTGGAGGCCTGGAGAGAAATGGAGGCGCGGCTGCTGGCAACCGCAGGGAGAGAGAGAGAGGCAAGTGCTGATCAACAGCTGCCACAACGGCTATGGATCAGACCCTGCTTTTCTCTTCAGGACTCTCACCGGGCCTGATTCACAGCCCCCTCAGCAGTCAGTGCTGGGTCACCATGCCTGCAGCCACAGCAGTCAGTGCTGGGTCGCCATGGCAACCCAGTGCTGATGGACCCAGGGTTTTTATATATTAGGATTGTTTTTGTGTGTGTGTTCGTGGGTTTTGTTTTTGTTTTGTTTTGATAAGTTGTATGAGTTCCTGATATATTTTGGATATTAACCCATTATTGGATATATCATTTGTGAAAGTCGTCTCTCAGTAGGTTGTATTTTCATTTTGTAGATGGTTTCTTTTGCTGTGCAAAACCTTTTTAGTTTGATGTAGTCCCATTTGTTTATTTGTATTTATTTATATTTTAAATTTATTATTATTTTTCAATATATTTTATTGATTTTAGAGAGGAAGGGAGAGGGAGGTAGAAACATCAATGAGAGGGAATCATTGATTGGCTGCCTCCTGCACACCCCCTACTGGGGATTGAGCCTGCAACCTGGGCATGTGCCCTTGACCGGAATTGAACCTGGAACCCTTCAGTCTGCAGGTTCTATCCACTGAGCCAAACCGGCTAGAACTATGTTTTGGCTTTTTAAAATATATTTTTATTGATTTCAGAAGGAAGGGAGAGAGAGAGAAAACCGTCAGATGATGATAATCATTGATCGGCAGCCCCCTGCACACCTCCCATTTGGGGACTAAGCTTACAACCCAGGCATGCGCCCTGACAGGGAATGGAACCTCGACCTCCTGGTTCATAGGTCGGCACCCAACCACTGAGAACACTGGCTGGGCGATCTATGTTGTTTTATTCTAGTACCATACTGTTTTAATTATTGTAGCTTTATACCATAGCTTATCAGGGAGTATGGAACCATCTTCCACTTTGTTCTTTTTCAAAATTTCTTTGGCTATTTGGAGTCTTTTGTGGTTCCATAGAAATTTTAGGATTCGTTATAGTTCTGAGACGAATGCCATTGGTGTTTTAATAGGGATAACATGGACTCTGTAATTTGCTTTAGGTAGTAAGGACATTTTAACAATATTAATCCTTCCAATCCATGAGCAAGGTATGTCTTCCATTTATTCACATTTTCAACTTATTTCTTCAGTGTCTTACAGTTTTCTGAGTACAGGTCTTTTATGCCTTTGGTTAAATTTATTCCTAGGCGTTTTATGCTTTTTGATGCAATTGTAAATGGGTTTTTCTTAATTTCTCCTTATCATTTGTTATTGGTATGTAGAAATGCCAGATTTCTGTATATTGAGTCTGTATCCTACAACTTTACTGAATTCATTTATTCTAATTTCTTTTTGGTGGGATTATTTAGGGTTTTTTATATGTTGTATGTCATCTGCAAATAATGAGAGTTTTACTTCTTCCTTTCTGATTTGGATGCCTTTTTTTTTTTTCTTTTTCTTGTCTGATTGCTGTGGCTAGGATTTCCAGTACTCGTTGAATAGAAGTGGTGATAATGAGCGTCCTTGTCTTTTTTCTTTTAAAATATATTTTATTGATTTTTTTTTACAGAGAGGAAGGGAGAGAGATAGAGAGTCAGAAACATCGATGAGAGAGAAACATCGATCAGCCGCCTCCTGCACATCCCCCAACGGGGATGTGCCCGCAACCCAGGTACATGCCCTTGACCGGAATCGAACCTGGGACCTTTCAGTCCGCAGGCCGATGCTCTATCCACTGAGCCAAACCGGTTTTGGCGCTTGTCTTTTTTCTGATCTTAAAGGAAAAGTTTTCAGCTTTTCACCATTGAGTATATTAGCTGTGGGTTTGGCATATATAAGCCTTTATTGTGTTATGTCCCTTCCATAAGCACTTTGTAGAGTTTTCATCATAAAATGATGCTTAATTTTTAAAAATAATGTTTTTATTGATTTTAGAGAGAGAGGAAGGGAGGAGGATGGAAACATCAATGAGAGAGAAACATTTATTGGCTGCCTCCTGCACACCCCTGTCTGATTGCTGTGGCTAGGATTTATTATATATCCTTGTCTCCTTTGGTGTAGATTAGCCCACAACCTGGGCACATGCCTTCACCGGGAATTGAACTGGTGACCTCTTGGTTCATGGATCGATGCTCAACCACTGATCCACACCGGCCAGGCAAAATGATGCTTAATTTTATCAAACACTTTCTCTGCATTTATCCTTTTTTTTTTAACTTGATGTGTCAAATTGATTTACTGATATTGAACCATCTTTGCATCACTGGGATAAATCCCACTTGGTCATGGTGTATAACCCTTTTAATGTATTGTTGAGTCCAGTTTGCTAATATTTTGTTGAGAATTTTTGCATCTCTGTTCATCAAGAATATTAGCTAGTAATTTTCTTTTTTTGTTGTTAATCCTCACCCAAGGATATTTTTCCACTGATTTTTAGGGAGAGTGGAAGAGAGAGGGAAAGAGAGAAACATGGATGTGAGAGAAACACATCTATTGATTGTCTCCTGCACAAGCCCACAACTGAGATATGTGCCCTTGACTGGAATTGAACCTGGGACCCTTTGGTCCGCAGGCTGACGCTCTATCCACTGAGCCAAACTGGCTAGGGCTCTTTTTTTTTTTTTTTTTACTTTTTATAAGAGTTTATTTGAGCCAAGCTAACATGCAGGAGAGCAAGATCTCAAATGCTCCCTTTTTTGTAATGTCTTTGGTTTCAGTATTAAGGTAATGCTGTCTTTGTAGAATGAATTTGGAAGTGTTCCTTCCTTTTCAATTTTTGGAGATAGTTTAAGGATTGATGTTAACTCTTTGAATGTTTGGTGGAATTCACCTATGAAGCCATTTGGTCCTGGACTTTTATTTGTTGAGAGTTTTTTTTTATTACTACTTCAATTTCATTGCCAGTAATTGCTCTGTTTAGATTTTCTATTTCAATCTGGTTCAGTCTAAGGAGGTTATTTCTAGAAATTTATCCATTTCTTTTAGATTGTCAAATTTGTTAGCCTATAATTGTATTTTTTGAGTGACTCTGTTTATCTGTGGTGTTGGCTGTACCTTCTCTTTCATTTATGATTTTATTTGGGTCTTCTTTACTAAAGGTTTGTTAATTTTGTTTATCTTTTCAAGGAATCAGCTTTTAGTCTAATTGATGTTTTTTACTGTTTTTAAAATTTCTATTTATTTCCATTCTGATCTTAACTATTTCCTTCCTTCGGTTTACTTTGAGTTTTATTTGTTCTTTTCTAGTTTCTTTAGGTATAGAGTTAGATTGTTTATTTGGATTTTCCTTTTTAAAAGATTTTTAAGAATTGACTTTTTAAAAAATATATTTTTTATTGATTTCAGAGAGCAAGGGAGAGGGAGATAGAGATAGAAACATCAATGATGAGAGAGAATCATTGATTGGCTGCCTTCTGCACACACCCCTATTAGGGATCCAGCCTGCAACCCAGGCATGTGCCCTTGACCAGAATAGAACCCAGGACCCTTCAGTCTGCAGGCCAATGCTCTATACACGGAGCCAAAATGGCTAGGGCAAGAATTTATTTTTAGAGAGAGAGAGAAACATAGATGTGAGAGCGAAACATCGATTGGCTGCTTCCTGTATGCCTGCTGCTGGGACATGTGCCCTGACTGGGAATTGAACCAGCAACCCTTTGGTGCCCAGGATGACATCCAACCAAGTGAGCCATATTGGCCAGGGCTATTGGGATTTTTCTCATTTCTTGAGGTAGGCCTGTATAACTATGAGCTTCCTTCTTACAGCTGCTCTTACTGCATCCAATAAATCTTGAAAAGTTGTTTTCTTTCAACATATTATGTTGTTTAGTCTCCATGTATTTTTTTTCCTAGTTTTCTTCCCGTAGTTGATTACTAGTTTGATGATATTGAGGTTAGAAAAGATGCTTGATAATGATTTCAATCTTTTTGAATTTGAGGCTTGTTTTGTGGTCCTAGTCTGAAGGGTGTGCCATGTGCATTTAAAAAATGTGCATTCTGCAGCTTTTGGGATGAAATGTTCTATAAATGTCCATTAAGTCCATCTGGTCTAATGTGACAGTTAAGGCCATTATTTCCCTATTAATTTTGTGTCTCAATGAACTTATCCATTGATGTGAATGGGGTATTAAAGTTACCTACTATATTTTATTACTGTGGATTTCTCCCTTTATGTCCATTAATATTTGCTTTATATATTTAGGTGCTCCTATGTTGGGTATGTAGATATCTACAATTGCTTTATTCTCTTCTTGGATTTACCCTCTGTAATTATGTAGTGTCCTTGTTTGTCTTTACATTTTTTGTTTTAAAGTCTGTTTTGTCTGATATGGTTATTGCTACTCCAGTTTTTAAATTTTATTTTTTTTGCCATTTGAAAACAATAATTTATTGCTTTATCTGCCCTCCTGCTATATAATGAAATTTTCAGTTCATTTCTGAAAAATAAATTGGCCAATAAATTCATTTTGTTCTGCTTCTACTTTACACAAGGCTTCATATTCAACCCGATACCTTTCAAGCTGCATTTTCTTTTCTGCTATTAGTCCTTGGAATTGCTGCTGTTGGGCTTCTCTCTGCTTTGCTATAGATTTGAGCAAATTCTGAGCTCCAAAGGCCTTCATCTTCTCCTTTTCTGTTTCTTTTGCAAGTTGGTCAACAAGCTCAAGTAAACCAACTACTAGTATTTTCTGAAATTGGCCAATTTTGTCCACAAAGCCCTTCCTTGAGCTCTATGGTCTGGTAACCTCTGGTTCCAACACCCGCAGCTTGTTTAGTTCATTAAAGTGTAGCCCTGCTTCACCCAGGATGTCCTTGGCCATAGCTTCCGACCCTGCAACAGTGGCAAACAGCCCAGGCTGAAGTTGGCAGGTAGTTTCTCTCTGGTCCGCGGCAGCGGTACCTGGCCCACCAGTCTCAGCTGCTGCCATGGCTACAGCAGTTTATTTTTATTAAAAATTTATAGCCTGGCTGATGTGGCTCAGTGGATTAAGCGTCATCCAATTCCCAGTCAGGGCACATGACTCGGTTGCAGGCCCAATCCCCAGTAGGGGACGTGCAGGAGGCAACTGATTGATGTTCTCTCTCATAGATGTTTCTATCTCTTCCTCTCCCTTCCTCTCTATCTACAAATAAATAAAAACATATTTTAAAAAAACATTTATATTTACTGATTTTTAGAGAGAAACATTGATTTGTTGTTCCACTTATTTATGTATTCATTGGTTGATGTGTCCTGACTGGGGATTGAATCTGCAACCTTGGCATATCAGAACAGTGCTCTAACCAATTGAACTACCTGGCCAGGGATCCAGCTTTCCTTTTGTTTCTATTTATATGGGGTATCTTTTTTCCATCCTTTCACTTTCAGCTGGTATATGCCTTTTTTTCTTTAATATATGTTTTTTTATTTCAAAGAGGGAGAGGGAGAGAGTTACAAATATCAATGATGAAAAAGAATCATTGATCTACTGGGGATTGAGCCTGAAACCCGGGCATGTGCCCCGAATGGGAATCTAACCACGACCTCCTGGTTCATAGGTCAACACGCAACCATTGAACCACACTGGCTGGGCCGGTATATGTATTTTTAAAAACATGTTTTTTTATTGATTTTAGGGAGAGGGAGAGATAGAAACATCAATGAGAGAGAACATCGATTGCCTGCCTCCTGCATGCCCCCTACGGGGGGATTGGGTCTGCAACTCAGGCATGTGTCCCGACTGGAATTGAACCCGTGTCCTCTTGGTGCATGGGTCAACGCTCAACCACTGAGCCACACTGGCCAGGCATCAGTCTGTATATGTCTTTCAATTTGAAGTGAGTTTCTTGTAAGCAACATGTAGCTGTGTCATGTTTTTGTTTCTTTTTTGCTGCTACTGCCACCACTACCCTTGTTGGGTCATTTTTTTTTTAACTTATTGTCTAAAGTTTTACATATGTCTCCTTTTTCCCTGATTGACCCCCCCACTCCCCCAGCCATTCCCACCCTGGG